GTGGGAGCTTTGACGCCAAGGGCCAAACCGTCACCGCACGCAAAGCGATGGTGGACGGCAGACCTGACACAACTCCGTCAAATATACACATATTGGAGAAACCATGCCCGCTCGGAGCGACGAGCAGGGCGAAAAGTGCCGCACCTGGAGAACATGGCCGCGAGTGCAGCGAAACAATACCACGATGCAATACGGAAACAGAAGAAAAAGCACTGGAATGAGTTCCTGGCCGATAATAATAATATATGGAAAGCCGTAAAATACCTGAAGTCGGGAGATGATGCAGCATTCGGGAAGGTCCCACAGCTCCTCAGGGCGGATGGAACTATGACCGCCGATCATAAAGAGCAAGCGGACGAACTACTGACCAAATTTTTCCCGCCACTGCCGGACAGAATTGACGATGAAGGGACGAGGCCGCAGAGAGCGCCCGTGGAGATGTCTGCTATCACCATGGAAGAGGTCGAACGGCAGCTGTTGGCGACAAAGTCTTGGAAAGCACCCGGTGAAGATGGCCTACCGGCGGTAGTGTGGAAGATGATATGGCCCGTGGTCAAGCACGGGGTCCTGGAGCTATTCCAAGCGTCGCTAGAAGAAGGCACATTGCCCAAGCAGTGGAGACATGCGAAGATCATACCGCTCAAAAAACCGAACAAAGAGAACTATACAATTGCGAAGGCCTGGAGGCCGATTTCACTCCTTGCGACACTGGGCAAGGTGCTGGAATCAGTTATCGCAGAAAGAATCTCTCACGAGGTGGAGACCTACGGTCTGCTCCCGACCAGCCACTTCGGGGCCCGTAAGCAACGATCAGCGGAGCAAGCACTCTTACTTTTACAAGAGCAAATCTATGCGGCATGGCGTGGCCGACGGGTCTTGAGCTTGGTCAGTTTCGATGTTAAGGGAGCCTACAATGGGGTTTGCAAAGAGCGACTGCTCCAGAGAATGAAGGCACGAGGCATACCGGAGGGTCTTCTCCGCTGGGTCGAGGCATTCTGCTCGGAACGGACAGCGACTATTCAAGTCAACGGGCAAGCATCTGAGGCCCGAAGCCTCCCACAGGCGGGACTACCTCAGGGATCACCCCTGTCCCCAATCCTCTTCCTCTTCTTTAACGCAGACCTCGTACAGCGACAGATCGATGGCAAGGGTGGAGCAATCGCGTTTGTGGATGACTTTACCGCGTGGGTGACCGGACCGACTGCGCAGAGCAACCGGCAAGGTATCGAAGCAATCATCAATGAAGCACTTGACTGGGAAAGAAGAAGTGGAGCGACTTTTGAAGCAGAGAAAACCGCGATTATACACTTCACCCCCAAGGCCCACAAATCGGACTCGGGGCCATTCACCATTAAGGGAGAGACCGTTGAACCCAGTGATCATGTCAAGATTCTTGGCGTCATAATGGATACGAGACTCAAATACAAGGAACACATCGCGAGAGCAGCATCCAAAGGCCTGGAGGCAGCGATAGAGCTTCGACGACTTCGAGGTCTAGCCCCAGCGACAGCGCGGCAGCTATTTACATCGACGGTGGCCCCGGTGGTTGACTACGCCTCCAATGTCTGGATGCACGCATTCAAGAATAAGAACATCGGACCGATCAATCGAGTGCAAAGGGTAGGAGCACAAGCAATTGTGGGAACATTCCTCACAGTTGCGACCAGCGTAGCGGAGGCCGAGGCCCACATTGCCACGGCACAACACCGTCTCTGGAGACGAGCCGTGAAGATGTGGACAGACATCCACACACTACCAGAAACCAATCCTCTTCGCAGAAACACAGATCGGATCAGGAAATTCAGGAGGTACCACCGCTCACCATTATATCAGGTAGCGGACGCGCTGAGAAACATTGAGATGGAATCGCTGGAAACCATCAATCCGTTTGCACTGGCACCATGGGAAGCACGCGTGCAAACTGAGAATGAGCCTATTCCCCAGACATCGACTGCACCAGGCGGATCGATGCAAATCGCTTTCAGCAGCTCGTCACGGAATGAGCTGGTGGGATTCGGGGTCGCGATCGAGAAACAACCACCTCGCTATCGGAAAGTGAGACTGAAGGTCTTTTCCGTCACGTTGGGTGCGAGAACAGAACAAAATCTATTTTCCGCAGAGCTAGCGGCTATGGTGCACACATTGAAGACACTCGTGGGACTGAAAGATTTTAGGATCACACTGACCACAAGTAACAAAGCAGTGGCTCTCACGCTGAAGAGCCCTCGACAACAGTCGGGTCAAGAATTTGTCTGCCAAATCTACAAGCTATTGAGAAGACTGCAGAAGAATGGAAATCGGATCAGCGTCCTGTGGATTCCCAGAAAGGAAGACAACAATCTGCTAGGTCTGGCGCAAGAACAGGCCCGAGCCGCAACACAAGAAGACGCCGTTACGCAGAAACAGGTCCCTAGGATGAAGTCGACAACTCTGAATCTTGCGCGGTCTCAAGCTCCCCCCAGCAGTGAGCTGCCCGACAACGTAGGCAGACACTCCCGGCGAGTGGATACAGCACTTCCAGGCAAACACACGCGACAGCTGTATGACCGATTATCGTGGAAAGAAGCGAGCGTGCTGGCCCAGCTCCGCACGGGCATGGCAAGACTCAATGGATATCTCTTTCGAATCAACGTCGCAGAGACAGATCAATGTGCATGCGGACAAGCAAGAGAGACCGTGGAGCACTTCCTCTTTCGATGTCAGAAGTGGACCACGCACAGGATGGAAATGCTGCAATGTACCCATACTCATCGAGGCAACATATCTTTTTTCCTGGGTGGAAAGTCGCCTTTGGATGGCGAGAACTGGAAACCGAACTTGGAAGCAGTGCGAGCCTCAATACGGTTTGCAATAGCCACCGGCCGACTGGACGCCACCTGACCATGTCGACCAACACAAACGAACCCCTCCCCAAATTAACCCACATCAACCACCTCGTGCCAGAGACGGTAAACACGCTTCAACTGCCGAGAATAGGATGTTGAACACTTGGAGAATCGCCTTCAAGCCAGTTTACTAACAAAATACTTACCCACGAGACCCCACTTCGATCGATATTGACACCCGAGATGACATATACTGGAAGGAATCATGTATGGGCTCTAAGGAGACAAGGCATATTTAAGGAAATGTATTAGTAGATTAGTGATAGTTGCCCTTTCGGCTTCGCCGCCGGGCGTTAATGAATTGTGTGTGTGTGTGTACACAGTTAAAGCCACCGTGGCCCCGGTGGTGGACTACGCCTCCAATGTCTGGATGCACGCTTTCAAGAACAAGAATATCGGGCCGATCAACCGGGTTCAACGAGTCGGAGCGCAGGCGATTGTAGGAACGTTCCTCACCGTTGCGACCAGCGTGGCGGAGGCCGAGGCTCACATTGCCACTGCACGACATCGGTTCTGGAGACGAGCCGTGAAGATGTGGACGGACATTCACACCCTACCAGCAACCAATCTCCTCCGCAGGAGTACAGCTCAGATCAGAAAATTCAGAAGATACCACCGGTCGCCATTGTATCAGGTCGCAGACGCGCTGAAGAGCATCGAGATGGAATCACTGGAAACTATCAATCCATTTACATTAGCGCCATGGGAGGAACGTATACACGGCGATAGACAGGATTCATCAGAGACACAGACCGAAACGGGCGGAGTCATGCGCATTGCGGTCAGCAGTTCAGCACGAAATGAGAAGGTAGGATTCGGCGTGGCGATCGAGAAGCAGCCACCTCGGTATCGTAAGCCGAGGCTGAAGACCTTCTCTGTCACACTGGGCGCAAGAGCAGAGCAGAACCCATACTCCGGCGAATTGGCAGCAATGGCATACGCACTGGGTACGCTACAGGGACTGAAACGGTGCAGGGTCACGCTGCTCACCAGCAACAAAGCGGCGGGACTCACACTGAGGAATCCTCGACAGCAGTCAGGCCAGGAACACATCTGCCAGATATACAAGTTGACCCAAAGACTACGGAGACACGAAAACCGAATGGACATCCGCTGGGTTCCGACCAGCGAGCATAACCAATTGTTGAGCCTGGCGAAAGAGCAGGCCAGAGCCGCGACACAAGAGGATGCTACCCCTCAAGCACAGGTCCACAGAATGAAGTCAACCACCCTGAACATCGCACGGTCCCAAGCAGTCACCAGCAAAGGCTTGCCAGAGAACATAGGGCGACATTCCAAACGAGTAGATGCAGCACTCCCAGGGAAACACACCCGGCAGCTGTATGATCAATTATCGTGGAAAGAAGCAAGCGTGCTGGCCCAACTCCGGACTGGCATGGCAAGACTCAACGGATATCTTTACCGAATCAGCGTCGCCGAGACAGATCAATGTGCATGTGGACAAGCAAGAGAGACCGTGGAACACTTCCTCTTTCGATGTCGGAAGTGGACCGCACACCGGACGGGAATGCTGCAATGTACCCATGCTCACCGAGGGAATATATCCTTCTTCCTGGGCGGAAAGTCGCCGTCAGATGATCAGAACTGGACACCGAATCTAGAAGCAGTGCGAGCCTCAATACGGTTTGCAATCGCCACGGGCCGACTGGACGCCACTTAGCCATGTCGACCAACATAAACGAACCCCTCCCCCCCGAACTAACCCCCACCCACCACCTCGTGCCAGAGACGGTAGACGCGCTTCAACTGCCGAGAATAGGATGTTGAACACTTGAAGAAGCGCCTTCAAGCCAGCCTACTAACAAAATTACTATCCCGCGAGGATCCACCACGATAATGACAGTTGAGATGACATATACAGAAAGTAACCATGTATGGGCTGCAAGGAGACACGGCATATACTAGGGACATGTATTGATAAAATAGTGATAGTTGCCCTTTCGGCTTCGCCGCCGGGCGTTAATGAATTGTGTGTGTGTGTGTGTGTGTACATGAAGAGCTGTATCCTCACGATGGGGGCTACGGGCGATAGAGTCTGTAGGACACACACGACGGGAGAATCCGAGGAGATGAAGATGAGTTCGCAGCATCAGGATGCCAGGGCGGGCTGGCAACCCAAGCCCCTCTCAGCCCTTCGTCGTCCTTTCTCACTCCTCAAATCCACCAACCCCACTAATCACTCCACATTGCACCGACAACCTTCCCCACCAAATCCCGATCATCTACTCGACCATCGCTGCAAGAGCTCTCTCATTTCATAGACAGTCCTCTTTAATGTCACTCCCCTACAGCTGGCTCAGGATGGCTTGTATTGCAAACCACCCTTAGGTCTTGGCAGATCAGCGTGTTGTTTTGCCTGTGGATCAACCAAGTCGCTGCACACACTCCAGAAGAATGCCATCGAAGAGATGCAACAGCTTCATTTAACAGACTACATATGGCAAATCTTCTGTCGCGATGTGAAGCCGAGCTTTGAAAGGCCTAATATTGCCACCCACTCAAGCACCGCATCTCCATCACCTCAACAACCTCCCCCAGAAACAGCGCCAGCATCCATCCTGCAAGACGAACCTTCAACCATGAACATTGTTACAACCCCCGCAGAGGCCACTACCATGCCTGAGCCAGGGCCGCAAGAATCTCACCCGACCTGCTCTTCTGAAGCCTCTCAACCTCCTCAACCTCTCTACGCAACATCCCCCGCTACCTCCACGCCAGACCAACAACCTACCTATGCATCAGTTCTGCAACGCCTCAAACCTTCTTTATCGCAATCAACTCCCAAAATCTATCAATCCGAACCTTCCCTTAAATCACACTCACAATCGAAGACCTTGACCGACGTTTCCACAACGAACCATCACCATTCCAGCTCAACAAGAAGACCAGCAAGAGTTCAGCTCGTCGAGCTCGCAACAAAAACGCATTTGCCACGCAATCTCTAACGAAATTTTTTATCTCAGCTTTGCCAGCATTCTCGCAACTCCTAGCCGAGATGCAACCAGCCGCGGACAACTGTTGGTCGCCTCATCCAGGAACTCATTCTAGCCGCGCCTTGAGGGCAGCCTAATCGCGCAAAAGGCAACAAGGCCACGATAGGCTTTACCAGGTGAGGTTCAAAGTTTACTGTCAGGAAGTTTGGAACAATCTCAGGGATCAATCAACATATATTTAGAAAGCAGTTGTAGCCTGCATATCACCGTCAAGGCGAGGGGTCAGGGTAAATGAAATCATGATCATCATCGACTGTACAAATGAAGCTAAGTGGCACCTTTTTGGATCTCAAGAGTACCACTCAAGCATATACTGTATGGATTTAGAGACACAATTTAATATACTGTACGCAAGAGGGAACAGTACTCTATTGTGCAGTAATCAATCCGAATCAGATGAAAAGTATGAAACGTTTGGATTGTATGTAACCGACAATGGGCGTGGATTCACCCGGAAAAGTCGTACTATTGTTGAAACTACAATGACATAGACAATAGCTCCAGTAATCGTACCAAATATAAGAGCCGCAACCCGCGGGCTCAATGAGTGGGACTCGGATCTTGTCGAATCTCGGACCGACGGTTTGGTGTCGGATGTAGTTGCTGAAAACTCTATGTTCTGTGTTGTAATGTATGTCACCAGATGTGACTGGCCCCATCCATCTGTGTTTTTGCCTCTAGTGCCGCTACCTTGATCTGTCGGAGAAGATATGATGGGACGGGATGAAGTGATGTCCCTGTGAGTTGAATGACCGTGGTCAGCTGGTTGCGGCAGCGGTCTATACTCAGTCGACGACTGACCAGCCAGCTCAGAAGTGCATGTAAATAGGTTAATGGAGTGTATCAGTCCATTGCTGTTGATGCAGGAAATGTCCCGGCATAGAGGTCGGGAACAAAGCCCAGTCACGCCACTGCTCCTTTTAATGGATCCAGTAGTATAATTCATCTTGCATCAATTAGGTTTGAACTGCAGTATGACAATTCATCATCAGCGCGCGGCAGATTTATCCTTACTGGGAAAGTTTAGTCTCTTGCTCAAGACCACGTTGAACAAGATCAGAGATAAATATGTCGCTCTGGCATCCCGATACACCGCACTATATTTATTTGTTGTAGAACGAAAACCAGACAGGTTTTCTATGGAGGACCTACCTTTTGAGATTCTATACAGGGTACTTCATTTTGTAAGGTTTCTGAACTTATTATTAGTAACTCCTTTTCTAACTTCCACTCCACGATAGATGGATTCACCCCACCATCGGGTTTTCAGCATTACCTGCAACCGAATTCGACTTGCCACTATTCCGCTAGTTTTCAAGCGGATTTTACTTCGGCCAGAGAGTGAATGGAATTTGAACCGATTGATCATTCCGTCTATTCCGCTTCCAAAGCACATACTCAGACATGTTCGCGAGCTAGAAATACGAATTTCCATCTCCTACATTGTTCAAAAGCGGTGTGGCTATCACTTTACTATGCCGTACTACCTGGAAGATAATCTCGAAACAGACCTTGGACTCCATGCCGACTTCCTAGAACCTCTATCGGCGCAACTCTGCCCTGTTCTCCGAATGCTACCTCTGCATTCGATCAAGCATTTTAGGTATGCTGTGCGATATATGACATGTATTCTCGATAACTTTCTCTGACAAGTGTCTATTTAGATGGAATATTGGCTGCTGCGTACCAACTGTGACTTTCATTCAGCTTATTGAAAACCAACGGCTACTGACAAAGGTATCGATATTGCTAGATGGAAGCTGCAGCCTGGCCCAGGAATGTGAATCGCTATTAGTTTTCCTAGCGGAAAAGATGGGTCTTGAAATAGAGATAAATATACTGTAGTGCCCGGGAGCTTGATGCAGTAATGTGGAACCTCTGAAACCGACTACTTTTAGCGGATACTGCGCTGTATATGGGCTTTTGCTTGATAGATACCACCGCTGATTAGATAAGACTACAGTGCAGGCAAACAGGCCAATTGGCGTCATGAGGTCTGGGGTTCGGGTGTACAATGAACCTTTCACAGTCCAGGTCTAGTTGTTAATCTATTGTGAAACTTTATTCAGTGGCCAATAAGTGTGAGAGTTAAATAGCACTCCATCTGCAGATAAATTTAGAATACTGTTGAATGCGCGGTCCAGCTTTCTTTCATATTCGGAATCGCTATTGCGTTTGTCGTACTCTACTGTACTGAACTAAATATATATTCTGATTCTACATTTTCCATCAAGCACTAGAACATTAAGGTTGTCTGTATTGCGATAATAAGCACTTTAGTTCTATGGGCAGAATTTTCTCATGGGGAATACAAATGAGGGCCTGAAACCTTTTTGGGACTCCGGAATTGCCTTTTTTGATAATGTACAATCTAGACCTCGTCTGGGTTACTCTTATTATGAGGCATTAGAATTACCGAAAGAGAGGCGTTTTAATTGAATAAGTGGAACCTTAATCTGAACCTTGGCTTGGTCCAGACTCGAAAATGGCGAAACTAACCTTGAACGGCTAATTTACCAAGAAAAGGAATGCGCGAATCAGCAGTGGAAGCCCGTGTTGGGAATGAACAGTGCAGCTGAAACCTTAAAATAATTATATTTAAGTTGAACGGTTGACTCTTTGGAGAAATAGCGTGCCAATCAGGAGTGGAAATCAGTGTTGGTGATGAACGGTACAGCTCAAATCTAAAAATGATTATATTAAAGTTGAACAACCTACTCTCTAAGGGAAATAGTGTGCCAATTAGAAGTAGAAGCCCGTGCTAGTGATGAAAAGTGCAGCGGAATTCTCAAAATGACTACTAAAAATGGTTATATTAACGTTGAACGGTTGACTCTCTGGGAGAAATAGCGTACCAATCAGGGGTGAAAATAAATATTGGTGATGAACAGTGCAGCAGAAATCTGAAAATAATGATATCAGCGTTGAACGGTTAATTTACTAAGAGAAAAATGCGCGAATTAGGAGTGGAAACCCGTGTTGGTGATTAACAGTGTAACTGAAATCTGAAAATGATGATATCAGCGTTGAACAACCTACTCTCTGGGAGAAATAGTGTGCCAATCAGGAGTGGAAGCCCGTGTTGGTGATTATCAGTGCAGCTGAAATCTTAAAATGATTATATTAAAGTTGAACGACTTTCTAGATAGGAGAGATAGTGTGCCAATCAGAAGTGGAAATTAGTGTCGGTGATAAACAGTACAGCTAAAATCCGAAAATGATTATATTAAAGTTGAACGGTTAACCCTCTGGGAGAAATAGCGCACCAATTAGGAGTAGAAATAAATGTTGGTGATGAACGGTACAGCTCAAATCTAAAAATGATTATATTAAAGTTGAACAGTTGACCCTCTAGGAGAAATAGCGCGCCAATTAGGAGTGGAAATAAATGTTAGTGATGAACAGTACAGCTGAAATCTAAAAATCATTATATCAAAGTTGAACGGTTAACCCTCTGGGAGAAATAGCGCGCCAATCAGGAGTAGAAATCAGTGTTGGTGATGAACAGTGCAGCTGAAATCTAAAAACAATAATATCAGCGTTGAACAACCTACTCTCTGGGAGAAAATAGTGCACCAATCAGGAGTAGAAATCAGATTTGGTGATGAACAGTGCAGCTGAAGTCTAAAAATGACTATTAAAGTTGAACGGTTAACCCTCTGGGAGAAATAGCGCACCAATTAGGAGTGAAAATAAATGTTGGTGATGAACGGTACAGCTCAAATCTAAAAATGATTATATTAAAGTTGAACAGTTGACTCTCTGGGAGAAATAGCGCACCAATCAGGAGTGGAAATCAGTGTTGGTGATGAGCGTGCAGATGTGGGTACCGGGCGGCTCAGTCAATAGCTACAGTAGCTGCCTCGTACTTTTTGCGCTGTTTTGTTTCAAGATGAAAGCCCACGTGTTGCCTCTCAGCTTTTGGCCGCGCAATCCGACTGCGGGGCTTTACTTCTCTCGTAAGGCCTAACATGGTCTTCAACGCCCTGTATATTCTTTAATCTCGGACGGAGAGAATGCCGGCGGTGAAGCCCTGGTAAAAAATAGACAAATCCTTACTTGGTCATTGCACCTGTAGTGAATTGGCTACACGGGGAATTACATACCACATTCTACTTTCTTATTCGCTAGTTAAGAAATTTGTCGCTGGCGCTTTAACGATATTTGCTGCGGGTCAGCTGGCCCATAGTGCTCCCTTTCCTAGCCAATAGCTTCCCACTACTTTTTCCCATCTACGTGCGGCATGTACAATAGAGTAGCTTGTAGTTGACAAAAAATCCTAATCGTACCTATAGCTAGCTCGTGTACGCGAGTGCTAGCATTCAAATTATCCCATTTATATATCCTGTACATGTGTACTCAGTGACAAAAGTACTGTACTGTTTCATATTTTCTCAAGCTTTCATGTTTTGAAGGACCATGGTGGAAGGAGATTGGTACACTGGTGCGACTGGTGCGCTTCTCTCACTCTGGTGCAGATCGTTTAACTCTTTCTTGTGTTGGACCAGCACGCAACACATGCAACAAAAAGATTCTATACCATCTTGGCATCCTGATGATTTCTTGTGGTGTAGTCTTTTTCTCATTTGTCTTCTTTGTTGCAAGATCGGTATCCATTGAAGGCCGCAGAGAGTCAGCAAAGAGAAGAGGCAGCACTACAGGAAAGACCGGTTAGAATAAGAACAACCAATTTATATACAGGATTGGGATATTGACATCACTGTTGCAAGTATTCTCTTGAGTATTCTCACTCAGAAGGGAGGATATTTTCCCGAAGAGGCAACAGGGTAGAAAGATGGCGGAGCAGCCTGCCATATCATCAGTCCTATATGAGCGATCAGAATCATAATGACGTACATGTACACTTGGGATTGCAACAGCTCGTGAGTGGATACGTCCACTTCTCATCCCCGAATTGGTCTTGATGAGTCTTCGACATGGCATGAATGAGGATTAGATTGTACAACAGTCACATCCCTAGATCAGCAACTTGAGATGATAAACAATTCGGTGGTTTCATAAATGAGTAGTGAAAACGTGAGATTTGTTAAACGATCTACACTATCAATACATTTACCGTCACAGTGGACGCATCAATGATCGGAAGCAAATAGACTAAGTTACGTAGTGGACGAGTTTGACCTGATCTGGAATTGCACTTTTTCCAGTTGCCTATGTTGAGTAACATACAGCAGTGTACCATTGATAACACCTAGAGTGTTTAACGCCAATCCAACTTTATGTTGCCGATAGTTGATCAGCTTGTTGAATAATTCCATATGAGGCCTGTTAGTCAATATTCTGTGCCGGCTTTTGTTTTTCTGTCGATCTTGGCATTTCAGAGTGTGAAGTAGATGGGGCGTTTTTTTTAAAATGACGTCCTTGTTTGAGCTTTTCTGTACTATGTTTTCTTTTCAAGATACGTGTTGTGGGCCTAAAGATTTCCACATCTGCCATAGCATCGCAGGGCCCAAAAAAGCACTTCAACACCCATCTATAGACCTGTTCGGTTCCTAAGGCTCCTTTTGTTATCTTAATAGTAGGGTCAAATAACTTAGTGAGATAAAGCATATTTGTGCTGCCAATATGAGCATCAATTTGTTGAATCCCACACCGGTGAACAGGACCAGGAATTTGAGCGTCAGATGAGGTTGGAGCAATTTCCTCTGCCATATCGAAACATTTGACTATCACGTCAATGACTTTGTCCATTTTCGCAGGGCTGTATCTGAATGTCGAAGGATCTCTGGCCTTGAGAAGCATATTATAGGCAATCTTTCGATCTGGTGGGTCATTCAAGATTTCTTGAGTTTGCTTTGACTGGAAGCCAAGCTTTTCCGCCAGTTTAGCCATATTATACACGGTATGGTAGTCCGCCTCCCCTCGATTAGGAGTTGCGAGCAACCTGCTTCTCTTGATTAGCTCCGGGGGCATTCTATGATAGTTTCGAACGCTATAGAGCCACAGTTCACGATATCCAATTTCAAAAGTGTCATTGGCCTTTAAATTAGCATATGCAATGTTATTATGCCCAAGTTCAATTGGGAATGGATTGCGCCCATTCTTAGAAGACAGCTCCTGGAGGTAAGAAGCATCGAACATAAATCTTAATGTCGATTGGATGGAATCTTGAATACGAGGGCAAAGTCGCTTTATGCAATTCGACCAACATTCAAGCAATTTAAAATCCTCGAAAAAGCTGTACAGTGAAGGAATGAAAACATCCATATTGATGATTCGTTCCGCAATAGTCTCCCTCTCACTTTGTGTAAAGGAAGAGAATACACGGCCATCTAGTATCATGGTGCGGATATTACTGCTCTCCGAGCTATCCAGATAAGGACGCCTTAGCTGAAGCGCCTCGACATCTTCTGAGCCCACTTTTTCTAACTCTATTGGGTCTTGCGAGATGCACTCAAACCAGAACATTTTTACTGTATGTAGATACTTCGTAATCTCCTGCTTTTGTCAGAAACGCAGAGCCCTAGATTGCTTGTTTCCTTATACACAATGACCATCTGTATGGCCTAGCGCGAAGAATAGTAAGGGGTCTGTAAGACCGCCGCACTGATGATATCAACTTAGATAAAACATACCTCTTTGCATTCGGCCGCGATGAGACGGGAAATCAGACTGATTCTCATCCCACTCCTCCACAGCCCCGTGACAGGGAGTAGGTCATCGAAGGCAGCTCGAAGGTATCTGTTTTTTCTGCTATCAAGCTGATCTAATCGAGCTTGATTTGTTCTCGAGAGTCGCGAAAACCATCGCTGTCTGAATTGAGGATCACCCTCAATCTCATACTGCCTAACTTTGCGATAAATTTCCCCATCTGTGGGTGCAGATTCGTAAGAGTATTCGTCTACTAGAGAGTTCCGTAGCCTAGGACAGATCTCTACGTCGTTTAGCTCACATCCCCATCGTCTCGTCAAGGTACATACGGTCAGAGTACAAGTCCACCACCCACCATTTGTCCCCTGGGAAAAGGAACTCAGATGCTACCTGGATTCTATGCCGCCCATGGAGTGCCTTCAGTTGCTCGGTAGCAAATCGGAGGGTCGGTAGGTTGTCCGACGATGTGTGTTTGAGATCATTGCCCGTCAGGCCATGACTTTGAATGGCAACGCGGAATACCTCGGAAGATATGACTCCTGGTATTCGGTTATTTATATTTAGCCTATCACAGTCCTTGTCGTAGAAGATGCTCTTTAAGCGGTCTAGCTTTTTCTGGCTGATATTTCGAGGAAGAGGCGGGTCAAATTGAATGTCGGAGAGCATCACCTTCGCGGCTCCAAGATAGTTTTCATTACGCTCATGGGCAAGCGATGTTTCATCTTGCCCTTTCATGGCTGATATTTTCCAAGTTTTCACATAGCGTAATGTCTGGATTATATGCTAAGTACTTCGGCAAATCTCCGCCTGCTTAATAGCCCTTAGACTAGATACAACGTTTTGCACTAACTATCACTCAATTCATGCACTGTGTCGATATTACACTCCAGTCAATTTCTGAAATCAGTTGGAAAGCATTAATTTCAAAGGCACTCCGCAATATGATCCGCCGCCAAGAGGCAAGGGGCATATCATTGAAGACCTTATTGGGGTCTATCATTAGGGACTCAGGCAACGAAAGGGTTAACTTCCTGGTTATCTTTGCTTTATATCCGTCACCTGTCTTTCCTTCTATCAAAGATATACAGAATAAAAAATCCCTAGCCTGTTCGCAATCTGACATTCTTTCTTATAAGATATCTGAATCTCGTCTGTATTTCGCTCTTGGAGATGCTCAATTCCATGATTCGGCAGTCCTGAGATATAGCAAAACAGAAAACAGACCTCAGGATGGCCAATGATCCACGGGTGGGAAATGACTGTAAAGTCTACTACGAGCTCCAAGAAGCCCAGCTCTTGGACCCAGATGACGAGGGCGACTTGCCGCCAACAATCGACCAGGACGAGAGCGGCGAACTTGAACCTCAGGAATACTCCCTTTCTTGAGAGATCCGTTCAGTCTGTCATATCCTCGTTCCTCGATGGTTCCTTTAGACAGTGTAATGACGACAATGAGGGGTACTATGAAGCAATTATGGGAGCATATGATCTCGCTATAGCTTGGGGACAGAGGAAGATGTTACCAAATGCCAATCAGGCCAGAACAAGTAAATTGACCTTGGGCCCCTACTTTTAGTATCTGACCATTTCTAGATTATGACTCTTACGAGACATCGCTGCAAAATACCAACGGTAATAACCCACAGCCCGCCAGTAATACTCAGAATTCTGCCACCAATATCAAGATGTCACGGGGTTCAAAGTCTGTGGATTGTGCCTCCCTGGGAGGCCCATATGCTGGGGCCTTCGGCCGTTTTCAATATACCTGTGTACAGATTGAAGGAGACGAGAAAGAGACTACCATTTTGCTAGAGCGGATAATAAGAGCAAAGGGCGGGCAGAGGTCCTACTTCGTGGTTCAACGCAGGGTAGAAGGGAAGTATCGCTATGAGATCGCCAAGGCCAACGAGGTAAAGGTGGCGTTAGAGGACTGGCAAGCTGAGCCAGGGAGATGGATCGTCGATGAAACTAAGAAAGAAGGAAAATTCCAGCCTAAACAAGCGGGTGTATTTAAAGAATACTGGTTCGCTGCCTACATGACCCCACCTGCGCGCATAGTAGGCACGACTGCTCGATCCCCCACAACACTATCTGTTGTTGTATCCGATAAAGGTCCGCAAGTTGTGATATTCAGTGATTTAACTTCATGGATTGGACAGGAGAAAGCAGAATCTTTAGTGGAGAAATCTTGCCAATCCCAAGGCGTGCCTTCTCCATGGTCTGTCAGGTCGCAGACAGTGATTGTGGACGATCCGCGATGCCATAATCCAAAACAAACAAGACGAAAAAAGGAAGTTACCACTCTCCCAGAACAGGAAATCACGGGCTCGCCAGAATTACAAAGCATCAATGAAAATTCACTGGGATCTATTCAGAGAATTATGGATGAAGTCATCAAGAAAACGCTTGAACCTGTCATCACTGGGCAGCAAACATTCCAAAAGCAGTTGTTGGCGATGATGATCAGAATTGAGAAATTAGAGAACCGTTTACCAGGAGCCCCCACGGTAGACCTGAGCAAAAAATCATGATTCTGATTTAAGTAAATACGGTCATGTATGGGACCGATGGTTAACTACTGGAAAGACTAACATGCACCCTACATCCATTTTGGCATAGAGGGGGGCAGGGGTTTTAAATTATTGTATCCTATACAGTAGCAGACCAGACTTTTTCTTCCTATCGTCGTACGCTTTTGATTTTTAATCCTACTTTATGTTCTTTTTGCTTCTACTTTACTGGGATGTGTATTTTAGTCTACAAATATCAGACATATATACGATACAGTAATATGGCGCCATCTGAAGTTACCTGAGGCATCTCAGTCTCCTTAATTGACGCGTCCTGTATCGAAGCATCTTGAAATATGTACCATCTACACATATCGGTATTGCTTCTTGTATATCTATCCTTCCACTCATAGCTAGATTACCCTCCTACTGCCTATAAATAGGATCCTGACGTCCTAGCACTGTAGTGCTCACGAAGTAAACAAATGGCGAAGTAGGACTGTAGCTCCGCAGAGTAAGAAAGATGAGGCATTGACCTTACCTCATAGCTTTCACAGACTGAATGGAGAACATAGTACAGATATACATATACTGTAGTACTGTAGCAAACGATATTGGCACCCTGAGCCTGCACTCCGGGTTGGCCCTATAGAAAAATGACAGCTCTGTACCCAGGCTTGGTTTCAATTTTTCCCTCTAAGTTAGCTTGCAGTCCTACGAGTGTACAGGAGCACTTTGATCAAAAGAAAACCTTATTTCACCATACTACAAGTTTATTCTTAGCTGGTCACACAAGTGTATTATCAACACATGTGCAATTGTCACATATGTGAAATGATCATATGTGAAATGATCATATGAAACAACAACCAGGAGAATGGCTACATCCCGCCAGACTTGTTCAGTAATAACAACTTACTTCCCAAATCTCAGGTTCATCTTGTACCAATTTCAATATCAAATTAATACAATACACGGTATAGATTTTTATTGCTGCAACTGTATAAGTACATTACGTTTTCACTAGTGTACTATTTCTCGAGAAAGGTCTTTCTGTCTCAGTGTATTCTACTGTAAGCATTCCCGGGCAGGATTTCGTAGTAATCGAATGTAGAGTGCTCTACAGTATAGTACAGTACTAAACAGTATCTATTCTTCTGCCTCAACACAGGATCTAACCAATTCTAACAAAAAGTCCCAGTGATCACTGTCAATCCACAGCTTTACTTCATATTGTTTAACGAGCCCTCTGCGCCGGTATACCTCACGATGTCCTAGAATCGCTGGATCGGGCGTGTCCTAGTTTCGTACTGTGAGATAACTAGTTCGTACAAGATCTTCGAGTTTGCTTACATCACTCTCGTCGTCGGTAGAGAACTCAACGTCAAGCGGTTCATATTCGCCATCGCCCTTTGCAGAATTTGTATCATCGTCTGGTACCACGAAGCCTTCGTCAGATTCTGTTGCAGAATACTCTGACTCTGTCTCACACTCCGTGTCGGCAATATCAATGCTCTCATCTTCTGGAACTTCTTCAATTCCGTCTAGAACGGACGGTGTGATCCATTTCAGACCGGTCGCCATGCTGGTCATCTATGGAATTGAGCCTATCTGCTTAGTTCGGCAATCGCTAATTCATATATAGTCTGGCGAACGGCCCTCAGTCGAAACATCACACTTTGAGGGCTTTCAAAGCCATAGGTATCATTCCTTCAGCGACTTAATGCCCGGCTCTCTTTGTTCATCCCCTTCTCTTTGTTTTTTTTCCATCGGGGAGTACTAAAGCGCCCTCAACACGAGTTCGGTGAACGACAGGATCACTTGAAATCCTGAAACGATATAGTTTCATTATTTCGAAAAATGAGGTTGATCGACATACCCGGAGGTCCTGTTGAAATCCACACCCTTTTCAATTCCTTGGTTGACCACAGGGACCAAGTTGGCTCGACATGGAGTAGGACGTTGAACGGTGATAATACATCAAGACCCAGCTCCGTATCGCGTCTCTTATAATTAGAGGACCCATGATTCAGTTTCATCCAACAAGGAATGGATGACAAAATGCAAAGAAACGAGAGCCCCGTGCCACTTCATGACAGCGGGAATACCCTGCCGACACACCAGCCAGTGTGCATCACGTCATCATCTGTTCCGACATGGACTGAAAACGACGCCTTCCGGGAGCTCTATCAGAATTGGTATGATTTGCAAACCCTACAGTACAGTACGGTATCTGCGCGGAAAATACCAACTCACTCTTACGTAGGAAGGATGCGATCTTGCAGAAATACGATGTCTCTCTATCTGAATTTCGGCCATCCCGAACTGAGACAGACAGAGAGATTCGCATTGTGGTACCTGTAATCAACCGTGCGGATGGATGGCAAGCAGCTTATGCTGGGTTCATATCCTTCGGAAAGGCCACGGGCGTAGTCGAGATAACCAATTTTCAAAGTTCCCTTGATATGCGCTGCTTGGACATCGGATACTCGACCACTAAAAATGATGCTTGTCTCGCCGGCTACTACGGAGAGGGCCTCAAATTGGCAGCCCTTGTATTTTGTCGGGGTGGATCGCATATTAAGCTCTGCTCCAATAGTTCTCACTGGAACTTTGCCTTGAAAGGACGCGGCAATCGGAACCTCTACTGCAATATTACCCCTGCCAGCAGGGATAAAGTTCAGAGGCTTCGAGACAAGGCGACTAGACAACGGGGTGCGATATCCCCAAGCGACTTGACAGCCAATATCTGGGAAGACGTTTCGGTCATCATCAAACGAGATGGCCCTCCAGGAAAGTTCAGACAGGAAGAGTTTGAGGGGTGGGTGAGGACAACAATCGATATTAATCCCCCACCTGAGCTCATACGAACACTCGCCGGCGACCTGATCCTTGATGGCGCATATTCTGGCTCACTGTACCTGAAAGGCCTCCGCTTACGTAGTACAGATGACTTACGAATGGCTTATAATCTAGCTCATGGCGTATCGAGTCAAGACCGATCCGAGTTCCTGAACCATCCTCTCCAACTACGTCTCATTACCCAGATATGGGCGGGCGCAATTGCCCAAGGAAATAAGATCGCACTTAATGCTTACTGTACGCTGCTCAAAGAGCACTCGGGTTGCACTGATGTAAAAGATGCGGAATTCATGATCTCCGAGCCCACGGCTAAAGCTGTGTGGCGATACCTAAAAGATGAAGCAAGCCTGCTAGGAAGGTTCTATGTCCCTTCAGATAGCAGCGATCTGGTATGATTGATCATGATGTCTGTAAATTAATGGTTAAGTACTATACTAATTCCTGCAAAGGAAAAGACTGACGTACGCGAGCGGTTGAGCCGTGAGCCAGAATGCCTTCCATTATCGCTCTGGCAACTTTTGAGACGATATAATCTGCTTTGTACAACCACGGAAGAGTTATCTCTTCAACTAGCACGTTCCGAACCGGCCACACTTCCGAGCACGCGTTACGCGCAAGAGTTTGACCATGCGATCCGGGCTCTTTTCGCAGCAGAGCCACAGACACGTCTCCTTGAAACCAAATATGTGAAAGGCAACGACAAGCATGCTGATTTGGCATTATCTAGAGATGCCAAAATAATCTTCATTCATGAACGATGGCTGAGCTTTAATACCGCTCACGCCCGGAGCTACTGTCCTGCCAAGCATGTATTGTGGTTACATGACTCCAGTTTTTGCGAATATATATTGAACTGTGTTTATTTGAAGGCCATATTTCTTCTCCGGTCATACTTGTTAGGAGCTGGCCATGGAGTATCCACTGTGGAAGAAACCATCCAGTCATTATGTCTTCGAGGACGAGATCGCCTTCAGGCAATGCCAAGAGCTGTTAGGGCATCAGTGCTTCCTCATGGTCAGAAAGTCCGGATTGAGTGGGAAGATGGCTACAGTCGAGCTGCTTCGCGTGAAATTGGAAGCCATATAGACTATCATGTTACACTGCATCGGGCATCTTGCGCACACCGAAGGAATTTGCTATTGTTCACTGATTCGTGCTCTTGCTCCTGCCCAATGGGGTTGGCTTCTCAAAGAGAGCGATCGATTACCTTCGAGTCGCCGGATAGCGAGATGCTATTTCCTATGGTTGCGAGAAATGCAAAGGACTCGATTTTCGGCTTCCCCCCTCTGTCATACGGGCCAATCCTAGGTATAGATCCTGTTCTTCCATCTCTGATATATAATGGGGATGGTATAAGTCAAGAATCACCTGGAGGTTTTCCTTCTGGCCTGGGTGGCGACTTAGTTCTACCACAGGTTATTGATTCGCGAGCCATGATTAACTCCGGCCGAAAACCTATTTCATTTCCCGATTTATCTCAGGATATATGGCCTAGCTCCGACAGGTACGTCATTCCTAGTATCGGGATCACAGAAACACTCATTCCCCCATGTAGCGCGATGTCGATGGACACACCGTCCTCTCCGGCGTTTTCGCCCCTTCCTGCATTACAAGGACCGAGTCCTATGCAATCAGTTTCTGGAGACGCATCCATAGACGAGCCCCTTGATTGGAAGGACTGGGAGATCCGCGAGGCATTAGATGGAATATTACTTTTCCAGGCCCCTGAGCACTTTGACCTGGTCAGCACCTCCACTCGACGATCACGCTTGCCCCCACTTTAACAAATGATCTAGTCGCTTACTCAGGATCGTGATATTAAACAAGACATAAAACAAGGGAGCTACATCAAAGTCCAGTTCGCCGGGTGGATGAACAGAGAATTTCTCCTATATGTCCATGACATCTTTCCACGTGCAGGATATCCCAATTCAACAGAGCATATTCTGGCCACAAAATACTCATTCTTCTCTGATATTCTTCCTTTAGAGCCCCCCTAACTCAGATCACTTGAATTCTGAGGTCGTGATGCACTTTGCCGACGCGAATCAGGTTGGGCAGCCCGGAGACGCGGAGCTAATAAGATTTGATCAAATTATGGCATGGCATCCCACCTCTAGTATCCAACTGCGACCCGAAGCCGAGGGTAAGTTAATCGATCCCGATGTATTGTTATGGCAGATGCTCATGTTTGTAGACTCAACCCAGGGTTTTTATTGTCGCTTTGCCATTTATAGAGCTTGCGATCCAGGCTCGGCGTGTTGGATCCCTCTCCCTCAGCCGTCTCTGCTGGATCGTCGAAAATCTGTGACCCCTATTGTTCTAGACCTCTCCCCCTCGGATATTGGCGGCTCTTGTGGGCTTCGACAGGCTGGCTGGAATATTGGAGGTGCTGTAGCCGCTCAGGGGGAAAATTATGAATTGTGGCAGGTGAGTCTGATTCTATCTGCCGTGCTGGATGCCATACTCAAGGTCCTTCCAGAGGCTGAATCCGAGAGCCGTAATGCACGACTCGGCGCAGGACCTTTTGCTTGAAATGTCATCCGATACCCCGGTTCTAGTGGTCATATCAAACGGAATTGAGCCACCGCGCCTTCCTCCGGGGGAGCTTCTACATACCGAGGCCACGATCCCCGAAGACTTTTTCAAGTCTCTTAAACAGGCCACGGATCTGATTACCAAAAGTCTAGTTAAACCAGCATTTTGCCTCGTTGCTCTACCAATCTCGATGTTACACCCCATTGCCATTGGCCGGCTTATGCACAGCTTGATTGGCTTTCTGAAACATCGCTACTCTGTACATTTGAAGGTAATCACCTATACACAACGATCTTCGCTTTGCCGCGTCCTTCTTTTGATTCTTGCACCAACAGCAATCGACCATCGATGGCTTGGAAAAGGAGCTACCGCGCTTTCAGTTCCGGAATTTCTTTCCGCTCCAGACGATGATGCTGGTTCACCTGTTACCCGGCTGGCGCGTAACAAAGGGTTTGCGTCACCGTCTCTGGAAATTTTCAAAGAGCGTGATCGGCCTCTCGTTGATACAGCATCACCACCCCTTATTATGCAGATTGCAGGCGAAATGATCCACCGCGCCGTAATTCGGATAAGTTCCTCGAAAAAGCGTCGTAGAAGCTGTAGCCCCCTACAACTCGACACTGGGTCGAAAATATTCAAGCGGTCCATTGAGAATGAATAGACAGCCCTCGCTTTTCCGCTAATGGTGTGCTTCTATATCTGCGTTAAATTTAGCCATATTCAGTGCATCATCGTTGAGAACATTTTGATCTGTTTGATTCTGTGTCTTTTGTGTTTAAAAACTGCCGTCAGCCCCGGAATACATATTCCAAATAGATTCGAACTAGATTCTCCCTTTCTTACCATGTCTCATGAACTAAAAGTCCCACTAGATTTCTGGTACTCTATCCTCTTAGTTCGCATGCTGGACCCCTCATTAGCTATACCCCAGGGTGCCAGGAGCTCATGTCTACGGTTACTCGCTGAAAGGATTTCGTATCAATCCCCCACCGTTATCGGCCAATCTAAGGCACCACTCAGAAGGTACTATACCATTCCTCGAAGATTCAGATGTCCTAGACGGCTCGGGAGACCACAAATTGAAAGCTACAAAGCCATACTCTCTTTTGTTAAGCCCACTCTTCAACGATACACTCATTACACTCAACTATATCGATCGCAAACCGATTCAACTAAATCAGATGGCTCCCACTTCCTACCTCAGCCAATCATATCGGACCCACATGCAATTTACCTTGCATTAGCAAGAATAGCCATGTCTAGAGTAGAGAGAAATCAACATCTGGGTCATGTACTTGCAGCTTGCAGATTATTCACTACAATATGTATCCTCGTGTATCGTAATGAAGAGAAGGAATAACAATTCATTTTTCTCTGGTCATTTGAATGTAATATGCTATACTGTAGGAAACAGAATAATAATTTAGCCTATGGAATTATCTATTCAAACAGCGGTCTGCTAAGAGCCGTATAGGAATTGGATAATAGCCATCCTATACACGTTAGACGCGACGGTATAAGAGAGTTTGAAACTTCACTAACAAATTCTGTTTTAGACAAAGGTGGATTTGAGTCTGGGGAGGTGTCCAAGAGAAACACCTTGCCTGCTGGTTTGATGCGAACAACTAGGAATACATCCGCCTCAAAGTCACGATGATATTCAGCTGCTTTTTTAAACAGGCTTTTCCTGCGTCGATTCAGTTGCTGTCGTCTTGTTCTTTGAGATGACATCTTTTGGTGCTCTGCAGTAATATTGACTTCCGGGTGAATAATATATTACATGTTCTTTGTTCAACAACGTCTAACGACTCGGCAGTCTACCGTGCCGAATAACGGTTCACCTGTTCAACAGTATCTTCTATTTTTCTATTATATCTAGCATATTCGTGGGATTTGCATTACATTATATTCGAGCGCGCCTTCCAGAGCAAGATCCTCAGTTTTCCAATTAGAATCCACTTTGATCATGTTTCACGATGGGCGATCCCCGTATCCTCGTCAGGATTCCCAATTCCATATCACCCAAATTCAAGGGCGTTTGAATAGCTTGCGCCAATCTATAGTAGCCTGGAATGCTGTTCATGATAAGCAAATTTCGGTGCGCTACCAGGAAGATGCTCAGTATGAGCACGCTATTAGTTTCATACGGGCAGAGCAGAAGGTACTGTACCAGAATTCAACCTGATCCAAAGAAAAACTGAAGCCTTATCTGGGTTCCACTTTAGCATCTAGAAAGCTGGCTTCAATTCCACCTATCTATTACAACAACAGGGACTCCTCCACCATTTATTCAACCACCGATAGGAACACACACACATCAGTCAGTAGTACAAAGACACGATTCAGCACCACTACCATCCCAATTTTCAGCATTTAGATGGGACGAGAAGGAGGGAACCACCGTTAGCAACACTCGCCATGGGTGCAGTTGTCCAGTCCCTGAATGTGGCAGAAAACATTTTAGAACCCCCAATCGAGTCCTCAGTCACCTCAAGATCGAGCATCCAGGTTGGCGCCCTTCAGACGTGGAAACTCCAATCATGAAACATGATACTGGAAAGGGTTCAGGGACTCGTATTTCCTGGAGTGATGAGCAAGAGGGATCTGGGTCGGATACTACCATCGCGACGAAGCCATCGAGCCCACTGACATTGGGCCCTAGGGAGCTGGCTCGTAGAGTTGGACCCACGATTTCCTCTATCACAGACTAGTTCCAAATGCATTATTAGCTAATTAACACCAGAATGGCAAGTACTCAGAAACAACCTTTAAAAGATACAATCGGTCCATTTAACGTAACCGCTGTGGCAAAATAAGTTTGCCATTCACAATCAGATACGCATTTGATCAAAGTACCAGCTGATTTTAAAAGTTTCTAATCTTCATAAGATCATCCACATTGAGAGCAAAATTTGCACAAGGAACAATGGCCTGGAGTGCCATGCTTTGATTAAATTAAACTAAGCCTTAGCATGTTCTCATCCGTCACCACTGCAAACGGCCCATCACATGATGTATTATGACATCATCGACTTTAGTATATGCGTTTACGGTGAAGGTCTAGAACAAAGGTTTTTATATTAAGCAACCCATACAGAGAATGTCGAAAATAGCTCCCCTCCTGACACATCCGCTTTCTTTCCCAGGACCCCACTAATGCTCTGGGCCTAGATCGACTAACCTAAAAATAATCCATCCAGCCAATCACCCAGCTAGACTCTACTTGAAGAGGCCTAGCTTCTACCGTATCGAGCTTGGAGTAATCGAAGTGGGGCGCCGGGAAAGAGAGAGGCTTGAGATAGATTGTGTGGCGTGCGGGCTGCCGAAGTTTTCGGGGCCAGGCTTGTTCCCATAGTTCAGGCTCGATAGAGTGAGATGTGTCGCGTCATAATACCGGCTCTGTGTCATCTATAACAAGCATTCGCAATCCTTGGACCAACCATAAATAGCTTATTTTTAACACCCCTTTCGACGGCGGGCTGGCAGCTAATGTAACTCGCCATAGGTGATACAAAGTCATGACGAATAAAGATTCATCTCTGCGTACCAGGGTTATGTAGCACTCTATGGCATAAGCGCAGCCTTCAAATTTATGACTGGCTGGTGGCTGTGTCGGACATGTCGGATATGGGAAGAAGGAGGGGCAAGAAACGAGTGGGACAGTCGAGAGGGAGTGAGTGAGCTGGACGATTTCATGCCAGATCGCCATGGCTCCCTCAAGATTCTACACGGTTTTATGGAGCCTGACGGTATTGTTACTATGACTCGCCTGCCCTGTAAGGTCATTACTGCCGCTGTTTTGCCAGACTTATAGAGCGGTAAGCTAAAGAAGGTTAGCGTAGTTCGGATCTATTTTCCGGGAATGAAGTCGCAAGAGTGTCGAGGTATAACTGATTTCGAAAACTACTGTATAAGGTAAGGCAAAAGCCCCCGAGTGGTGTGACGTAGCATTAGGTCATGTAATCCTATGCAACCAAAGTTATCACTCGGATAGTTTGGACTCCAGGCCATTGTTCCTTGTGCAAATTTTGCTCTCAATGTGGATGATCTTATGGTTGTACTCTCGAGGAAAGAGCCCCCTTCTCCTTCACGAAACGACAAAGCCTTTGTTATACTGTATGCCCACCTGGCTGCATATGATTATTCCTTGGTATCACAACCGTCAAACTCAAACACGAAATATTAAAGAATTAAACATTGAACAAAAAAGAAATCTCTTCCCAATCCATGTGAAGGTCAATATAGTGATACCAGAAGAAGTACATGTACTCTTCCTCGTACTTTGGATAGCGGTCAAGGCTTTGAGTGGTGCTATCTGCAATGGAACTTTGGTTGCTTTAATCGCTAAGCTCCTTTGATGGCATCGATGTAGGCATCTGATGATGGTGGTATAGCAAAACTGTTGAGTGACTTTTCGTAATTTGGGCCCCTTGCTGTGTAAAACAAGTGCTTGGATGATCTTTCTTATTAGCACCCTGACATAAGCAAGGTGGGCTATTTAAAGAATCAATTGGAGTTATGATTGAAGATGATTGAGGTGTATGTTGCAATGAATCAAAGTCGATAGTTTTCCCGCTATGTTGCTCCGGATTTAGTAGTGCACTTATCGGAAGCATTTTCCGCGTTGAAATCCACTCGTCGGGGTGTCTGAATGTCGCTGTGAATATGTGGTTTTGGAATCAAGGGCTGCGAAGGAAAATCCAGCAGCTGAAAAAACAGGGCAGTTATATAGCAGGCTGTTGAAATGATAAAATAACCAAGATAATCTTGTTATGGGTCACATGGTTAGCAGATAGTTCCACACGGACTAGAAAACATAGGGTCATGTAGGTTTCTAGATATTCCAATGATAGACCTTCGATCGGATCTATCGAAACCTGGAAAGATTTGAGTGAAGTGTCCGCTTTATATTTTATTTTACGTACAGTCGGATGGATGGATGGATGATTTCATTTACGCTGACCCCTCGCTAAGCGATATGCAGCATACAGCAACTATAAATCAATGTACGTACATGTATCGTGTACCACTTCTTAAACGAACTTGGAGCCTCGTTGGGGCCTGCCGTGGCCTCGTGGCCGGTGTTTTAGATAGCTGCCCTCATGGCGCGCGACTTCGGAACCGTTGTGATGCTTCTGCAAAGTCCAAGACAGCCTCCACTGTCTTAGCCCGTGAAGCAGTACCTCGTGTATCTCTCACTTCTTCCCCATGTCCTCCCAGCAGGGTTGCTATGCTGTTGAACGCGCTGCCAACTTTCTCCCGGAGCTCTTGGCGTAGCTGTCTGAGCTCAGGGCAGTCCAGGAGGACGTGAGTCACACTTTCTCGCTGACCGCAGACGCACTTATCGTCGTCTCGAAAGCGAAACGTCTTGGCATATGTTGATAGCCAGCTGTGTCCCGTTCGCAACTGCGTTAGTAAGTACGCCCGGTTACGAGGCAGAGTCCCGTAGAGCCGCCTCGTATACTTGGCCGGTAGTGTCTTATCGATCTTTCGAAGGTGACCGCCGTTCCGAGACTCCTTCCACTCTTTTTCCCACTGAGCGTAGATGCCTTTCCTGACGTACGCCCTCTCACGAGATAGTAAAGGAGAAAATGGGTGGGTTTGGCACGGTTTGGCAGCCTCTTTGGCCAACCGATCTGCTGCCTCGTTCCCAGGTTCGTTGGAGTGCCCGGGTACCCACTGTAGGCTGATCACAATACCATGGGTCCTGGTATTCGTGGCTGCCCGGAGGATGGCATGGATGATCTGCTGTCCAGACTTGTTCCCAGGGTTACGTATCGCTTGCAGTGCCGACATACTATCACTGAGGATGGCTGCGAATTTCACTCGACTACCAGTTGACCTCCGACGCTGCAGTCCGATCTTGTTGATGACGTTGATTGCGTATAAGATTCCGATCAGTTCGGCGGCATGTACTGACCATCGGTCCGCAGGGCCGACCTGGATTTGTAGGTTTTCGGTTGTTTCCAATGAGTCGTTAAGCGTTGTGGCTGCGGCGCTGAGATGACCTTGGTGTCCCGAGGCGTCGGAGTAGACGATGACCTCCATCTTGGATCTTGCTACTTTCGCTCGTTCCATTGCGATCTCTCTGTCGGGTTCGATCTCGATCTTCGAGAAGGCTTCGGTTCGCCATGGGGGGAGTGGGGTTGGATCGATCATTTCTAGTTCGTGTAATCTCTCTATGGACATTGTTTTTAGGGCTTCCGCAAGTGGGAACCGGGCGGACGTCCCGATGTTGTTCCGTCTCCTCTGGGCGCGAAGTAGGGTGTTCCATATTGGGTGTTTTCCTGGCAGTGTATGGAGCTTGGTGATCGTGGTTTGGGCGCGGAGGCGCAGACGGAGGTGGGTTGGTAGTATATATGCTTCGACGTCCAGCGTGGACGTAGCCACGGTTCGAAATGCTGAGAGAATCCGGATGATCGCTGTTCGTTGTACCGTACGTAGGTGTCGTAGATGTGTTTTGTCTCGAAGCGGGTCGTGCCAGACTGTTGACGCGTACTCAACGACCGGTGCGACGCACGCCTCATACAGTTGACGCATCTGTTCTGGACGGAGCTGTCGCAGCCCCCCCAAGTGCAATGCTGACCTTAGTGGCTCGCTTGACCACCTGCTGAACGTGTTCTTTCCACCGTAGCCCATGGTCGAAGATCACCCCTAGGAGTTTAGCGGTTGTTGATGGTGCGATAGTCTTACCATTCATAATGATCTGACCTTGGCACTGTTCGCTTTTATTTCGAGTAATATGGATGAGCTCGGTTTTCTCCGCTGCGAAGCTAGACCCGGTCCTCCGGGCCCATGCCTCAATTCGTGGTATATCCTCAGATTGGATTTTAGCTAGATTCTCCTCGGCGGACCAACCGACCCGCCAGCGGAAATAGTCATCGATGAAGGCTGATGCACCACCGTGGAAATCGACTGGTTGATCAACGAGGTCACAGTTGAAAAATGCAAAAAGGATCGGCGATAAGGGAGAGCCTTGCGCCAGCCCAGCGTGATGAAGTGGTGTCACCTCAGAGCTATAATCATCGAAGTTAATATTGGCTTGCCTCCCACTCATGAAATTTGCAATCCATCTCCGAGCGACAGCGGGGATTCCCTTGGCTTGAAGACGGGCATCTAGGCTTGTCCGGTTTACCCCGTTGAAGGCACCCTTTAGGTCGAAGGCCACCAGGGTGACAACTCTTTGCCCGTACCAGGCTCGGTCAATTGCGTTTGCTAATATTAGCAGGGCCTGCTCAGTAGTACGTCCTGGGCGCCCCCCAAACTGAGTATCTGGGAGGAGTCCGTGGTATTCCGCGAGATGGGATAGCCGTCTGGCTATTACCGCCTCTAAAAGTTTCCCGAGCGTGTTGAGTAATGAGATCGGGCGATAGGCCCCTGGGAGAGAGTAGTCTGGTTTCCCAGGCTTCCGTAGCACCACTATCCGGGCACTCCTCCACCTTTGTGGGTGGTATCCTAGCTCAATGCATGCGGCAAAGATCCTAGTGATAAGATTTCCAAGATGCCTCCAGAGGCGTTTCCAGACCAGCATAGGGAGGCCATCTTCCCCTGGCGCTGTCGAGCCTTTTGCTGCCAAGAGACATAAAGTAGCTTCGGCAGGCCTACTTGCATAGACCACTACCCCAGTTTTTCACCCAATAAACGAGGCTTCCGGACTTTTGAGGTGGACAAAGCCTCTCACCCTGGGTGTCTCTCAGTTTGCTCCTTAAGCATACATCACGGACCATTCAACTAGGACGACACCGCTTCAACCAGGCTTAGCTGGTCTCAGGCCCTCAGTGCGAGTGAGGTAGTTGATTCCTGACTCTTTGTACACCGACACGCGCATCCGTCCTCTCGGGCCATACAGACAGTCTCTTAACAGGCCCCGACCCTGTCGCAGTGGCTGCCATTGTACACCACGCCCCGCGAGAGCGTGAACTCTCGTTTCGCGTTACCTGGGGAGGTCTCCCCCCGCCAGGCCGACCGTGTCTTGCAGAAAGCCCTTGTGTACGCTCCATCCGGCAGTGTACGTCGGCCACTTTCCGCTAACCAAGCTTGTCCCCCGATGCCTGAGCAGGATCGATGGTTTACCCGTGGCAACGCCTTGACGAGGTCCATCATTTGCCACTAGCCAAATACTAATCCCTTCCAGAACGCCCGTGTATCTCCCAGGAGGATGCCCGTGTCTCGGTGGTGTCCGTATCAAGAAGAGGAGCCGCATCAAAGGTTGCCCGTGGCCAGGCCTTAACGAGGCCTTTCGAGGCGGTCTCTCCGAGCCTTAACGAATTCGAGTCTTAACGAGGTCTCCTGGGCCTTGAACGAGGTCTGTTCGATATTAGATTGACTGCCTGTGTCACCAGTTCACTACCGCCTCGCCGCATCTTGCACGATGCGATCCCAGACCGTATGCAGCTTCAGGTGTGGTTGTGCGGTCGCTTCCCGCACCGGGCCGAACCGCACAACCACGGCGGATTCAATTTGGTCTCCTCCACGAGGATTAACACCGGACACCACGAGAATGTATGAATCCATTGTCCCAGCAGCCTGGCTGGGACTGCTGCCCAGTGCGAGCTCACTGGTGGTAGCTCGTGGTGGGTAGAGTGAGTGCTGCATCGGGAGCGGGAGGGCCAGACGCGTCCCCTCCGCGCTCGCTGTGCTTCCCCGGCATTTTGCCTCGCGGAAGAAGCTGGGTGAGATTGATTAATAGATTTGGGAATACTCACCTTCCTTTTTCTATTCTCTGGTCGGGGGTCAAAAGATGGGCCTTGAAATACTATGGAAAGTGCAGAATATATGCGATGTGGGCTTAGTAAGGTCGTTTAGAGCCATGCAAACATGGTTGAAAACAGACATATGGGGGTGCTGAATATTCCTCGGGCGCACTAGTAAAACTGCGACCCTCTTTTGTCGACACAGTCTTTTGGCATACCACGTAAGCACCATTGCTCCACAGTAAATGCTCTTGCATAACGTTGGTCCGGTGGTATAGCGGGCAAAAGAGCTTATCACAAAAGCCAATTCTTCGGACCCTCTCGATACAGTAGAAGACACGTTTGCTCTGGTAGGAAACGAGGGGGGGGCCCAAGAGTGGAAAGCAGCCATGGTTCGAGTATGACGATCTGAGAAGTGGTATATTACCACTAAGGTCAGGCTGATCCAGCGTCCACCCAAGCTCCCTAATGTTTTCTATGATATATCGGGTCATTTCGGAATAACCGTGTCGTAACACGCCAACACTAGGCTTCGCCAAAACCCGCCCACGAAAACCCAACCCACGGGTTGGATTAGATCTTAGTCAGCAAACCCGTGGGCGGTAGTGAATACCCCCGGCCACCGAGATAGTCACGGTATTCACCGCCAGCGAGCAAACCGTGGCACGCCATCGCGGTTTCAACAATTCCGTAGCCGAGGGCCAATGAGTTAGACATCGTCTCGATTTTCGCTAATGACCCAGCACCTTCAATTAATTTGCGTGAGTTGGTCACATTTTCAACAAGCGTGGGCTATAATTAATGATCAATATAACTGACCCAATCGTAATAACATAAACGACCCTTAACTACAGTGGCGGGACTTTAGTTTGAAACTACCATCGCTACCGCTTTTGAATACCGGCCACCAAATTAGGAACACCGCCGGTACTCATGGGCCAAATTAAAAATTAAAAGCCAAAATATATAAATTACACCTGAAATTCGTAGTACGCCAGATAATGAGGAAACCCTGCAATTCCTTATTGATATAGGGTAACAGGCATGGTCTATAATTGATACTAGTACTATAGAAAACATAGCTTTTACCATGTCTCATAGTGTACAGCAGATTATTGATAATGATGGGTGGTATACTAGTTATTAGGAATATGAGGTTGTTTTTTGCGAGGTTTTGGTGCGGCAGAAAATTGGGGGGGGGGGGGCGGTTTCAAACCATTCGAACGCCACTGTAGTCGCTGAAACAGCTAGTTCTTAGTGGTAAAATACCACCTCCCAGTTTGACAAACGCGCATGTGGGCCGATTACGGAAGCCACCACTGCAAATGCCCGTTCTCCCTCAGTTTTCGTCTCCTCCGATTCCGCAGATTTTCCGGCCCTGCCAATTTTGTCTTTCGCTGTAGACAAAAGAAGGGTCAAGCCTGTAAAGCACCCTGGTCATGGTGGTTCGTGGGCCCTCGACAACCTGCTGTCAACAATGCCGCAGGCGTAAGGTCAAAGTAAATGCTCCTATGGTTTGACCCCTAACAAATGACTAACAGTGATCCTATGAAGTGTGACGGATTCAAACCAGCCTGCCATCGCTGCACAAGGCGTGGTGAAAATTGTCCAGGCTTCCCAGAAGCCTTTAGGTTTCTCGAACATCAATCTCAGAATGACCAGACGCCAATATCGATCGCCCCTGCCACGTGCCAGACAAAAGCTGAGGATCTCGCGCCACCTCAGAACCCTAAAGTCTCCTGCATTCTCGATCAGAAGCCTCTAGAACATACTCCTGAGCCTCAGCTATCATTATATGGTGCCACGGAAAATCCTCCTATATGGCCGGATATTAAGTGTTCACAAGGACCTCCATGGACGTTCGAGGCATCCTATTCATCGCTAAATGACGGTCTCCCAAAAACCGAGACTGTGTCGCTGTGCCCTTCAGGCCTAAATTCATTCCCTCAATCTGCTAGCACGTCGAGAATTAATCAATCGAACCCGGCTTCTAATCATACCAAGTGTACTATATCAAATCAACACCCGACGGATACTCATGGCCATTGGACTCCTTCGACCCTTGAATCAATAGCCCCTTGGCCGTGCACATTTCCCTTTCTGAGCGAGCTTGATACGTGGACAAGCTTTGCTCCATCGTATCCTGAAAATGGACGAATACCTTCAATTGAGCAGGGCGAAATTTCTAGTGATATAAACATTTTTGAACGCGGGACAACTGCCGCTGCAGTCCCTGGTCTATTAGGTGATTCAAAAGTGAATGAGCATCATGAATATTTTGATAACGGACCGACGGTGGAAATATCGGATCCACAACCTGAATTTTTTGTTCTCCATTGGTTTCATCTTCGACTGAGCTATATTTGGGCACTTTTTTCACCTGAGGATTAATGTGGTGGGGGTATCTTATTCACTCTTGACGAATTCATATTTTTTATATGGCTTGCTCTGAATTTCTGCAAAAACTAACCAATTCAGCTTAGTGGAACATCGACGCGATCTTCTAAGCGACTGGCGAGGTGGAAGTGCAGAGTACTTCTCACCTTCTTCGATGTGAGCCAGGACATTGCGATGACTCAGAAACGATGGTGTCTATTGAATTCCAAGGACGCCGCATACCTGGGGAAAGCACATCCCTTCCGACCGCTACTCACCAAAAGATGGCGCGCATTGGAGCGAAATCCTCGCCAAGAGGGTGCGAAAATAGGAAGATTAACTTATCGCTCTTTGTCATTCACAGTTTGACTGTTCAAAGATCAAGCAAGCAGCAGCTAAAAGGCAGCCATGCAGATGGATGACACATATTTGATGCGCTTTTGCTTTCTTCAATTCTTTTGCAGCTTCTTTAATTCAGGGTGAGCTAATAGCAGTAGCAGAGTTCAAATATGTCTAAACTTCATTAAATCGTCGACATTTTCATCAGCTTCACATTCTGTGCCCCATGTACCCAATACCAGTTCTCGTCATTACCAACGAGGAACCTTTGTCAAAAGTCGAGCTTCATGGGAACGCAAGCGATTACTACAAAATGAGCGAGAAAATTCGTATTGTATTCAATATGTCGTGACGTTGGTCGTGTGCATCATTTTTGATGTCAACTCGTGTTAGGTGCCAGTCCTTATTGATATGGTGTATAGAATTGTGCATCAGCAGAGACAGATTAGTTACTTCTTCCTCCCACTCAATGCTTTTGCTCGCCCAAAGATCTTTTCTACATCTTCCAGCTTCCATAGTCTCGATATAAGATACTAAGACTGTTGCTTGTATTGCTTGCACAATGGTTTGACATATGATAGCTTCCTCCTGCTACATCGTATAAGATTGTGTCAGCGTATGCTGTGGTAACTTACCACTAGCAAGCGATTGGTTACCCAGGAACCCGCATTTCTTTGTGTTTTGTATGGTAAATTGGTTTAGCCCGCAACCTCGGTGTAGTAGCCACCGAGTATTTGCACATACATGGGGTATTTCAACCTGCCCTCGATCGCATGTCTATCTTTCTAATCAATCCTTTTTATCCTAAAAATTGATTCCGCTTGATCTCATTTGCCCTGGATGCATACTAGTCCATACACTTTTAGCTTGTTCTGATAGATTGTTAGTAGACCTGCTTCACCCGATCTAATCCGTTTTGTTTCTAGAAGAGAACCTCGATACTCCTGACGGTGCGTAGGTTTGAGACATAGCTGCCTCCGAGCACTTTTCTTTCTCCACTCAATAATCGCAAGCATTTGAATAGCCTCATCCTATCTTCCCTGCTAGTAAGACGCGTGGTATTTTCCGATAGACCGCTCGAAATCTGCAGGGGCTCGTTGGAGCATCTACTCTGTTTTATGTATTTTACCCTGTTCACTCTATGTATATAGAGCCGCTAGATCAACGACTATCCCAGAGTCAATTTCTGGTCTGTCCAAAGTGCTTTTTGGTACTCGGCTAGCCTCGTCATGGCCTGTCATGACATAGCTACCGCTCACATTCTGAGGCTATCCTCGTGGCGCACGAGTGCGAACCCTTTGTGACGCCTCGAACGAACTTCATGACGACCTTGGTTGCTGTAGGACTCGATACAGTTTAGTCAGACTCGACAAGCTTCTAAATGCGTCCCTGCTTCACTCCGTAATCACATGTAAATATCTCTGAGATTCAGATACAGTAATCCAATAATACGTGAATGACTGTTTTCTGCCCCTGGCCGCATAGGCAGTGGTGCATGACACAAAAACCAAAAGTCTCAGCGAAGGTGGTTATTCAAACTTGGCCCGTACTTAATTGTGTCAACGGTTACGCCTGGTTCCTAGAAAGGCTTCCTTGCGTGTAGCTTCTTGGTATAGGTTGCGGCAGGGCGCCCTTGATCTTGCGCAAGTGGTCGCTTTCCTTGTAGTTACGCATTTTGTTGATTGTGAAGATGGTGATGAAATGAACTAAACGACGGCCGGTGAAAGAGAAAGCTATTGCTCTTGGGCAAAAGTACGGGCGCTCAATTACTGCCATTGGCTAAATAGAATATAGATGCATTCCACTCCTGAGCCCCACAAGCATCACGTGCACTTCCCAGTACCCCTCTACCCCCCCATCTCTGCTGCATGAAATTGTTTCGGCCTGTATCGTCAGTTCGGCCACGGATTACAGGTCGACGATTCTATGAATGTTCCACTACGCCCGGCTATCCTTGGTCTCTGTATATCCAACATACTGGCTTGTTTGCCCCTGCCGTTTCTCGATATTGCTAGTGAGTGTCTATGGCTGCCAGCTAGCACAAACGCTAACGCAGATGCCCAGGTTCTATCACCTGCGCTGTCGTAGAGAAATTTGATATTAACTTATGTGAGCTTGTTTCGTGATTCATAGGAACTGACCGAAATTTATGCAGCACTTTCCTAGTGCTCTCTCCCGCTTCACAACTACCTATCCTGCGTGAGCATGGACTTGAACCGATTGGCACTTTCGGATGATCTTGTGCAAGCAGATCAGCCAAAGAATGAAAATTATTTGATGGATCATGCGGTGGAGATACTCGATAGAGTGAACGCTGCAAGAGAATAGGCATCGAGCGAAGCCGACGTCAACCTCCTGGCGTCAATAATCGAGATCGCGGATTTATACGAAGCGCGTGGCCGCACTGAGTTTGCAGTCAAGGTGATGGAGAAAATCTTAGTGGTAATGCGAACGTTGAGCAGCGACCGTCCCGATCTTCTGACCCTTCAACATGAGCTCGCAGGAGCGTTTCAAGCGGATGGTCAAGTAAACCGCGCCGTGG